GGGCTCGATCCCAGGACCCTGGGATCATGACCTGAGCCGAAGGCAGACGCTTAACGACTGAGCCACCCAGGCGCCCCAGGAAACATTCTTCTTAAATACAAAGGAGAAAATAAGGAAGTCAGAACTTTTGGATAGAACTTTGGACTTGAAGGAAGGGGAAAGTCAACCAGTCTTCTGGTTTTCAGTTTAACTTACGAAACTTCTTTTTAAAGAAAGCAAACAAACAAACAAACAAAACCCAAAATACCCCCCAAAAAACAAAAACAAAAAACAACAAAACAACAGTGCATAAGGAGATGACAGGAGGCAAATACTTTCCTCTTTGTTTGGAGGAAATTATTTTTATAATTACAGTATGAATTCGCCTCTGGAGAGAGTCCACTACAAGCATCCGGGCACAGGCTGTATACCCTTTCAGGGGGTATGCTGTGGAGGAGGATAGCTATTGAGACTAGAACAAGGTTTTTCAAACTTTGATCAACAGAACCCTAAAAATCCATGAGGCTGCTACAGTGAGGGGGTGAGGGGAGAAATGGGAGGCGGAGCTGTTGATGCCCCAGGCCTCTATACCTGCTTCATTAAGATGAGGTTTGTTTTTACCTTTTAAATATTGGGATTCCATGTTAGGACTTCACTTAGAAAAAAATTCTACTGCTAAAGGAAAGTTTGAGAACCACCAAAGGGTCCTAAACCTGGCGGCTCAACAGAATTACTAAAAGAGCTTTTTCAAATTACGAATTCCTGGGCCATACCTCTAGACCTAGTGAAATAGTAAATTCCCAGGGGATTCTTGTACAGCATCCCAAAGCTAGCCCACAGTGCTTGAGGGGCATTGACCCAGAGGACTCTTGCTTCCCTGAGAGCCTATGACAAAACAGAACTTAAATGGGTAGGCAGGAACCTTAAACAAAAGAGTAGGTGGTAGCAGACAGAAAAAGAGAACTCAGACTGCTAACTCACTAGACTCTAATGAAGAATAAAAAATTGGTAAACAAATAGCTTGTCTAGGACCAGAAGTTCCTGTGGAGGTCTAATTGCTTGGCAGTGATCTCACAGCCTACTGCAACTGTCCATATTGGTGATGGCAGGCCAAGTAGTTTAATTCGGCAACTGTCCAAGAAAGTATAATGTCAGCCACAGATGTAATTTAAAATCTTCTAGTATCCATGTTTAAAAAAACTAAAAGAAATGAAATTTTAATAATATATTTTAATTCAATATGTCCAAAATAATATCAACATGCAGTTCAGTATAAAAACTGTTAATGATATATTTTACCTTTTCTTTTTGTACTGTCTTTTTTTTTTCAGCTAAGACAGAAGAGATGATTTATTGTACATGTGTTATATTCACACAAATGAAAACAGAATTAGTCTTGAAAGTCACAGGTCCAGGGCAAAAGACCAAAAGGGAATGTTTTGGTATGAGCAAGGTGGGTCTCTCAAAGGGGTCCTTGAGATCAGATGGTGATGGATGTTCTAGAAAGTAGATATGCAGTTCAACAATTGGTACCAGCATCCCTGGCCTCTGCCTTTCCTTATTTCTGTTGCTGTGGCTTCAATGGGTGCACAAGCTAGTGGTCTACTTGGACCTCTGCCTCATCTTTCTTCTCTTATGCTTCCGCCTACACACTTGCTTCTTCCTCCACTTGGCTCTAATGGTGGTGCAGAGGTTTCCAAGAAGATGGCGCGAAGGCTGAGAGATCCTGTACTAAGTCTTCAAAATGTTACAGCACATCTCAATTCAGACTAATCAGGTTTCAAGTGCTCAAGAACCACATCTGGCTAGTGGCCACATATTGTATAATGTGAAACTAATTACTAAGTTTCCATTAGTCATCTAGGATCAAAACTTCATAGCCAAATGTTTCCTTTTTCTTTCTACAAGAGCATCAAGTTCTATTTATTCTTCCTTCAAAATCTCTCTCATTGGCACTTTCCTGCTTCTAGTTCTACCTGCTGATCTGTCTAGTTAGTACACTGTCACCAAATACATACACAGTACTTAATAGCCCATGTATTAATGTCATTTCTCTTCAGTGGCTCTATAATGCCTTCCACTTTAGCTGCGAATTCAGGAATTCACACTATCTTGTCCCCACCCCCATACCTGACTTATATCATTCCAACTTTATCATTTATAAATCTCCTAGGAAAGTCTTTATTTTAGGCAAACTATCCTGTTCATGGTCCTCTGCATATGCCTTATACTTCTTTATCTCTGTGTTTTATGACTTTCTACCCACCAAGAATGCCCTTTCTCCAGCCTTAACTATCCAAGTCATTACTTCACAAATATGTATGTGTCAGGCACTGTACTATATACTGAAGACAGAATTAATAATCCTGATCTCAATTTCTCCACCTAAAGAAATTTTCCTTTATATATCAATTATATGTCAAAAAAGTGGAAACTGAAAAAAGAAAAAAAAGAAATCTTCCTATGTCAAAACAGAAGTGGTTTTGCACTGTTGAGTTGTTCTTTTTTTTTTTTTTTTTTTTAAAATTTTACTTATTTGACAGAGAGAGACACAGGGAGAGAGGGAACACAAGCAGGGGGAGTAGGAGAGGGAGAAGCAGGCTTCCCACAGAGCAGAGAGCCTGATGCGGAGCTCGATCCCAGGACCCCGGGATCATGACCTGAGCCGAAGGCAGACGCTTAATGACTGAGCCACCCAGGCGCCCCTGTTGAGTTGTTCTTATAAGACATACAGTTGTATATGCCTTATAAGAACACATTGCGCCCTTACAATTTGCTGCCATGCATTGCTAATTATCAACTTTTCCTATAAATATCTATCTTTCCAAATAGAGGACAGATTTCCTGAAAGCATAGACTAGGGTCATACCAGTGTATTTTCCTTGGTCTCAGTAAGCAGCAAGTACTGAATACACATTTGCTCATGGACAAGTACTTGTAAAAGGTGGAAGGGCCTGCAGGGCAAGAGGAGGGCTCTATCTAGAAAAGAGCCTCCCTTCCCAAAATATGCTGGCAAATCAGGACTAGAGGTGAGCAGGGAGGGTCTGCAAGAACCCCAAAGCTGAGGAAAGCACTTGGGAAGAGTCATTTTATCAATTTCATTTGCAAAGAAATTCAGAATTGGCAACATTTAAGTTAGGATCAGTTACCCTGTCTTTTGGACCCCAACAACACTGATCAACTTTAAAAATCCTTTCTTGGCTCTAAATGAAAATAATACCACTGTTAATGTTTCAGATACATATATAACATTAGACGTCGAAGATAACTCACCACATGTTATGTTCAAAAACTTTGGCTGGGTCCGTTAAAATCCTTGATCCCAGAGGGACCACTGGGTGATTACCACTTTGGAATCTATGTGGCACCTTTCTTATCCTTAGACAGGAAACAGAATTCCTCCAAATCACATACATCTTAATCAGTACCTGGAAAGTTACAAATGATTAGTCAATATGGATTATACAGTGTATTATTTATCAAATAGGCAAAAACTGGTCCAAAAGGTTTACAACCTGAGAAAAGACATGAAAACTAAACATTTTTATTTATTTTTTTTTTTAAAGATTTATTTATTTGACAGAGAGAGACACAGGGAGAGAGGGAACACAAGCAGGGGGAGTGGGAGAGGGAGAAGCAGGGAGCCTGACGTGGGGCTCGACCCCAGGACCCTGAGATCATGACTTGAGCCGAAGGCAGACGCTTAATGACTGAGCCACCCAGGCACCCTGAAAACTAAACATTTTTAAATGAAAGTTGGGCATGATAGCTTCTGTCCTGAAGTATTTTCAGGCCAAGAGAAGGAAAAAGAATATTTAGAGTGTGTACCATTGGCTGACATTCCTCATAAGTCACAGCTTTGGCCAACTTTGCTTTGTTTGGTATTTGTTCATTTAATTTTTATCACACAGCCAAAGGATGTCAGCCTAGAATCTGAATTTTGTGTATTAAAAGTTTTTTTAAGTGATTTTATTATTTTGGTTTGGGAATTCTAAGTGAACATATTTCTTGGGAATATTTTATGACCACCAGACCAAAAACCCAAGTACAGTAGTAGCAGAATAAGAAAACAAACCTATTAAATCTGCTTCTCTGGGCTGAGCTGAATAGAATGAAATTTAGTCAAATAATAAGTAAACACTGAAGATATGATCCCAGCAATTCTTAATTGTAACAACCCTGTATACATATATTTGTAAGAATAGTTAGTAATACATTTGTAAAAATAGATTTCCCTGTACAAAAAATATACAATCCCAGCTCAAGAGGAGAATCATCAGTTGGTTAGTCAAGTCCATCCCCGTTTCTGGAAGAACTTAAACATTTAAAGAGTATGTCACCTTAATTATGTACAAATATGTTGGCTTACCATCTTTATGGAAAAGTATCAATAAGAAGCTCTGAAGAGCTTACTTTTTCTAATAAAAATCCATTGTAAGACTGCTTAGCATTTCATCCCCATTCAGTTGTTCATCACAACATTCAGCCTAATGCTGCAAGCTGCCAAGTAGAAACAGATGCTAAAAGGTGTGTATATATTATACACACTGGAGACTATCTAAGGTACAATTTTGTGTAAAAATGACGTGTATTGTACATCCTTTACCAACTTACTGAAAGGCAATGGATTTTAAGACCGTGATTTCCAAAATGAACGGCAGAATGTCAAAAACATCTCATTGTGTTTTTAAACATAAAATTCAAGATTTTCCTTTTGGAGAAAAAAAAAAAAAGGCTTAATTATACACCAAAAAGACCGTAATGGTTCCATTCAAATGTGACTAACAGTGATGAGAAACGCCAACACTCAATACCTAGTGCAGATCTCCTGTTTCTTGTTTGTTTTTCCTTCTCTGCTAAATGCAAGCTTTTTGGTGGAGGCAGATGAGATTAAATGCTCTGCCTACTACTACCTTTCCTATGATGTGCCTTTGTTCTTATCTCCTGCCTGTGTTCCATGTAAGACTATAACAAAACCCTACCTTCACAATTATTTTTAGAGCTCTTCCTGCACTGAATATTATTCATAATATCTGTATGCTGAAGAGTAGAAACTGATTATACCTAGAAAGAGACAATTCATGCTCAAAAGTGTAAAATGAAGTAAATGTTTTCCACCCAGGAAAGCCAAATCAAAATGGAATTTTAATCTCCAAATAATCATGTGATACTTACCTATATCTATCTATATAGAGAAGAGGAAGACAGGGAAAAAGAAGATATGAGTTTCTCTCACTATAAATGATCAAAAATCTCCATAGGCAGCTGTTTAGGCAGCTGTTTTTCTAACAAAAACACCTTACCTCATTTATTTATTATATGTAACAGTCACACACAGCCTTGCACTCCTTTGTCTTTTTTAGTATATAAATATGATACATTTATATAATAAATACAGTATAGAAAAATACATCATAAAATTATATAAATGTCTTCTTAACTAAATTGCAAGCTTCTAAGGGCAGCACCAAGCTGCTTGTGAATTAATTGTTTGATTGATAATACAAAAATGATACTTATCTGACATAAATTTAATTAGAAGGAAACTACTTCATATTTTTCAGGGTGGCTCATAAGATCCTTACAGTGTGGAAGAAGGAAGTGACAGAAGAGTGTGACAGTATATAGGCAGCAACCCAGTTACATAGATTACAATGATTTAAGTGTGTGATGAAAAATGAAACACTCAATAGCTAGTGCAGATCTCTTGTTTCTTGTTTGGTTTTCCTTCTCTGCTAAATGGTGGAGGCAAATGAGATGTTATGACTATCATGTTAGCTTAATGTCTACTAGGTCATGGTTCCATTTTGTGATGGGAAAAGAAAAGATGAGCAGGGTCAACCCCAAACAGAATTCTGGTACAGAAAGTTGATTTCTGCCACCAGAATGTTCCACTCTCTTTATATACCCTCTCTTAACTCTTTTGGCATACCCTAACTTGAATATAAGTTTAATTAAGATATTATTTGCATAGTGAAACTGTATGCAGAAGTAGTATTTTTATTTGAAATAAAACAAATAGGTATAGCTAAAAATATTCCAATCACCCAAAAGAAGGCAGGAAAGGAAGCACAGAGGAACTAAAACCAAAAAGGACAGTAAGAAAACAAATACTAGGATGGCATATTTAAACCCAACTATATCAATAATTACATTAAATGTAAATGGAGTCCAATTAAAAGACAAAGACTGTCAATTTGTATGAAAAAGCAAGACCCAACCATATACTGTTTATGAGAAGAACTTTAAATATAAAGATACAAATATATTAAAATAAAAAGAGATATTATACAAACGCCACATGAGAAAACTGGTGGAGCTATATTAATAATGTTAAAAACAAAACCACAGGCCTAAAATGGCATCACTTAGATTAAGGCCCCAAGTCAGTAAAACAAAACTTAATACCTAACATAACTGCAGTTTTAACCCCCCAGAAATGTAACCTTTAACCAGTCAACATGAGAATTTCCTGGTCAGCACTAGGGACTTTATTGAGAGGCCCCTTCAGTTCCCCTTAGGAGGGCAACCTTGCCTAAAACAATGGATTCTTTGCTAATAATTTCCTTTTTTCCGCTCCTTCTTTACCTTTAAAAACCTTTTCCTTTCTGTAGCCCTTCGGAGCTCCTCTCTACTTTCTAGATGGGATGCTGCCCAATTTGTGAACTGGTAAATAAAGCCAACTAGATCTTTAACATTTACTCAGTTGAATTTTTGTTATTTAATAACAAAGTGGACTTTAAAAAACAAAAAGACTGTTATAGAGATAAAAGGGGATGTTTAATAATGACATACAATCCTAAATATGCATGTACATAATAACAGAGCTTCAAACTATATGAAGCAAAAATGGACAGAACTTTTTAAAAGGAGAAATTAACAAATTCACAGTAATTCTTGGAAATTTTATTTATTTCTTTTTTATTTTTTTTTAAAGATTTTATTTATTTATTTGAGAGAGAGAATGAGAGAGAGCATGAGAGGGAAGAGGGTCAGAGGGAGAAGCAGACTCCCCGCTGAGCAGGGAGCCTGATGAGGGACTCGATCCAGGGACTCCAGGATCATGACCTGAGCCGAAGGCAGTCGCTTAACCAACTGAGCCACCCAGGCGCCCTCTTGGAAATTTTAATACCTCCTCTCAGTAATAAATAAAACAACATTAAGAAAACTATCAAAAAATCAATAAGGATATGGAAGAATTAAACATTATCAACTTGACCTAAACATTATCAACAGCCGAAGACACATTTTTTTCAAGTGAACATGAAACATTTGCCAAGGCACACAATACATGCAGGGCTATAAGACAAGGCTCAGTAAATTCTACAGTATTAAAATTATACAGAGTATGCTTTCTGGCTATAACAAGATTTAATGTTAAAATTTTTGATGAATTGACTCATTAAAAATATTTCTCCTTATCTCTGGTAATAGCTATTTTCTTGAAGTCTACTTTGTCTAATATTAATATAACCCTACCAGCTGTCTTATGCAGTGTTTTATATGTTATATATATATTTTTTATTTTTTTATTTTTTATTATTATTTTTTTAAAGATTTTATTTGACAGAGACACAGCGAGAGAGGGAACATAAGCAGGGAGAGTGGGAGAGGGAGAAGCAGGCTTCCTGCAGAGCAGGGAGCCTGATGTGGGGCTCGATCCCAGGACCCTGGGATCATGACCAGAGCTGAAGGCAGACGCCCAACGACTAAGCCACCCAGGCGCACCCTGTTATATATATTTTAAATGCATTTGTGTGTTTACATTTAAAGTGTTTCTCTTAAAAAAAAATACATAAAGTGCTTCTCTTATAGGAGCATAATGTTGGTTCTTGCTTTTTTATCCAAACTTTAAATAATAATATATCTAGAAGGTACCCAAATACTTGGAAATTAAGCAACACACTTTTTTTTTTAAATATTTTATTTATTTATTTATTTGAGAGAGAAAGACAGAGATAGCAGAGAAAGAGCACAAGTGCGGAGGAGAAGGAGAAGCAGGCTCCCCGCTGAGCAGGGAGCCCAATGTGGGGCTTGATTCCAGGACCCCGAGATCATGACCTGAGCCAAAGGCAGATGCCCAACCACCTGAGCCACCCAGGTGCCCCAAGCAACACACTTCTAAATAACCTATAGGTCAGATTTACATGAGTTAGTAAGTCTTAAGGTAAATTGGAAAATATGTTGAACTAAACAACAATGAAATCTTAAAATATCAAAATTTATGGGATGCAGCTGGAGTAATGTTTAAAGGAAAATTGATAGTTTTAAATGTTTCTATCAGAAAGGAAGAGAGATCTCAAATTAATGATCCAGTTTCAATCTTAAAAAGCTAGAAAAATAGTAAATGGTATGCAATGTAAGTAGATAGAAGGAAATAATAGAAACTAAACACAGAAATCAAAGGTGATTCTTTGAAAAGATTAAT